AATTATATTTAAAAAGTAAATAAAAGGAAGACAGAAAGAAAGACAGAAAGAAAAAAACAAACAAACAAACAAAGACAGTAAAGAAAGAAAGAAAAAAAAGAAAAAGGAACAAAATATTGATAAAGTTTACCCAAGTGACGAAAAGTGTCGATTTCTTTGATTTCATTATTCTGATGTGTGCCTGATTTTACCACAACGCCAGACACAAGTTTATGTTATAAATAACTAGCTGAGTACATGTTCGATTAATGTACTTAAAAGAATTGTCGATATCTGTGAAAACAATGCGCACAGCTTGTGAACGGAAACCTCACTTTTTTACAATGGCGTTTTAGAAGACGGATTTTTCCCAAGAATAGAGATCTAAACGAAACTAATGAAAAACTGAAAATTAAACTACAGTGACTTCAGGCTCTTCAATAAAACTGTGCACCCTTTAAATGATTCTGAACCACCTTTAATTCTGTCAAATTCGAAAGTTAAGCGGATCGGAAGTTTAAGGCGGACTTTCACAAATATAATATTATGTAGAGATGATTGTTCTCCGTACCTGTACCGGTTCTGTAAAAGTGTGGGCGTTTCTTGTGGGAGCTATAGGGTCCTTCGACTGTTTGTTGGCGGGAGATCTGGAAGCTGGTCCGGTCTGTGAGGTCGCTGGACTGGGGGGCTTAACGCTTCTGTGGCCTGAGAGAGGTTTGTGGGAAACACGCATCCTTGCGGTAAACCAGATAATTAAATTTATTGGGGTTTTTTTGGGTTACTGTTGTTGATGGTCCTGTCGATGTTGTTGTTGTTGTTGTTGTTATTGTTGTTGTCGTTGATGTTGTTGTTTTGCTGGTGGTGCTGCTTTTATTTGTGTTGTTGTTGTTCCTTCTGCTGCTGCTGTTGCTGTTGTTGTTGCTGTTGTTGTTGCTGTTGTTGTTGCTGTTGTTGTTATTCCTGCTGTTATTAGTGTTGTTGTTGTTGTTGTTTTTATTATTATTACTATTGTTGTTGCTGTTATTGTTGCTGTTGTTGATGATGATGATGATGGTGATGCTATAGTGTTGTGGTAGCTGTAATAGATGTTGTTCTCCAAAAGTCTATCTTCCTTTCATTTTCAACTTCTTTTCTTTGAATATTAGTCTCTAGCAACATCTATAATCTTTAAAAAATGTCAGATAGAATTTTGTGACGTCGGTGACCTAGTGGTTAGGCTCTCAGACTCGCAACCGTAAGGTCGCGGGTTCGAATCCCATCAGGGACCCGACGTTGTGTCCTTGGGAAAGGTTACACGAATGTTCCTCACTTCACAAAGGTGGGAATGGGTACCCATCTATAGACCGCGAAAGATCTAATCTGCTTGTTAGTGTTGGAGCGCTTAATCAGCTGCTTGCACACTCTGCTTCCCGGGAAGCTGAGAATGTCACTGAATGTCCTAGGGTCTGCTGGGGTAATAATATAGTGTAAAGCGCAAAGAGCTTGCTTTCGAGTGGGGATATACGCTATACAAATTATTTATTGTTATTATTATTAGTGTTATTATTATATCATTATTATTATTGTTATTATCATTATCATTATTATTGGTAGTAGTAGTAGTAGCAGTAGTAGTAGTAGTACTAGCAGTAGTAGTAGTAGTACTAGTAGTAGTAGTAGTAGTAGTAGTAGTAGTAGTAGTAGTAGTAGTAGTAGTAGTAGTAGTAGTAGTAGTATCATCATCACTATCATTATCATTGTTAATGTTATTGCTATTATTATCATTATAATAATCTTCACTATCATTATCATTGTTGTTGCTATATAATAATAATAATGATAATAATAATAAAAATAATAATAATTATTATTATTATTATATTTATTACTATTATTATTATTATTATTATTATTATTATTATTATTATTATTATTATTATTATTATTATTATTATTATTATTATCATCATCATTCTGAGGTAGCGACCTGCATGTTCGGGGGAGGCGGACACTTTCCGGCCCAGGACTTGTCCAAACGACACAGGACTCGTCTTCCCGTCTGCGCGCACGGCGGACGCTCTCTGTGACGTCATGTCGAGGGTACTCGGTGGTGACGTCATGAGCTGCAAAAGTCTGCTTCTCCTCTCAGAGTCCGCGTCTGCGTGGCTGCGTGAGACGGACGTGTGAGTGTGAGTCGTCCGTGCAGGTCTGTTGTGTTCACGGCTGTCGCCTGTTCTTTGCTGGTGGGATAGATGATCGAGAGAAAAAGGAATGAGAATTTTGAAGGAAAAAAAAAGGGGGGGGGGGGGGGGGGGAGAGAGAGAAATAATAATCTATTATTACTCCTTAGTGATCTCGGTTGTGATACTTGTGTTACAATGCCAAACAAAGATTTCATGCGAAATGACCAAAAACAAGGAATTGCTATATTAGTATGCGTTTGGTCCTGTCTGTAAGAGTTTTAACCCTATCCGTACGTCGTGTTTTACTATCGTATCCATGCGACGTGGGGAACTCTGTGTCACCACTTTCCAAAGAGGAAATTTACTCGTTAATTCGACCTGTACGCTTGGCTTATCAGTCTGTCAAAATGATTTTTTGAGAAATACCGAAAGTTTCGAAGAGATATTCGCACTAGAAGTATTCTAAAATGTGAAGAATACAACCCCGGGGGTACAAAATGACCCCAAGGCGTACGGATATAGGATTTATGATCCCGGTTGGGATACTTGTGCTACAATGCCAAACAAAGATATCATGCAAAATTACCCAAAAACAAGGAATTGATATATCTCGCGTCCCTTTGGTTGGTTCAGTTTGTGTAAGAGGTCTCAGGCACACCGCAACACAAATTGGTCATCATATAAGTGTCAAAGATTTAAGGTGTTACTGAAGAATAACATAACAAAGAAAGAAAGGAGGGGAAAAGACAAGAGACGTTTAGTAGGAAAGAAGGAGCTAACCACACCAGAGCTCCCCAAAAACCACCAACTTTTGGGGAAAGAAAATAGAAAGAAAATGGGTAGAGAAAGACATAACAAAAAGGTGGGGGGGGGGATTTAAAAACATATCCCTTTATTTGTCCTTTTATTTGTTTGGCACGTACGCTAGATGGGTGTTATTATGCTCCCAACGACTTAGTGTAAATCAATAAGGTACTCTCACAGCATGATGTATCCGACTACGATCTTCTTAAGTTCAAAATGAAAGGGAGAGCATACATAACACAATTTAAAGCAACCAAACCCAAACCTGCCCACACAAAAAATAATCGATAACAAAAGACACACACACACAAATAAAAAAAGAACCATGCCACAAGACAACCCAAAAGAAAAAGAAAAAAAGATTAAGAGAAAGTACATAATTTTGCAGAATCCCCCCCCCCCCCGATATTGTTGACGGTTCATCTACGAATTTCCATTATGTTCACAATATCATAATATCTCTGTTCCCAATCCCCAGTCCATTTGTCCCCCCCCTTTCCCACAATAGCACCAACAGCCTATTCAGATTCTGTAACAAAATGACAATAATAATAATAATAATAATAATAATAATAATAATAATAATAATAATAATAATAATAATAATAATAATAATAATAATATAGCGCTCAGCCCCGATTAAAGTACACAGGCTCTGAGCGCTTTACAATACAGTACAACGTACAACAGAGTAACACAAAACGTTGCGTTCTGACTTTAAAAAATCACTCCAAATATTTATTATTAATTTAAAAACAGAAACGACTTCAGCTGAAATTTGAATGAATCAAAAGATTTGTTCTCTTTTAAAGTATTAGGTAAAACATTTCAGATCTAGGGACCTTGGTATTCAAATGCCATTTCACCCATTGTTTTAAGTTTTGGTCCTACGCCTGAGTCACGGGAGGGGAGGGGAGGTGAGGGGAGATGAGGGGAGGAGAGGGGAGGGTAGAGCTATCGTGTTTACCTGTTCATGGCTGCTAGTCATCTGGGGCTCCCGCGGTTGTCGACGTTCGTCCCTGATTATGGAAACATAATTGTGTAATATATTACTTTTTATTGAAAAGCCCAAAACGTCAGCTGGCGTTCAGAACGTGACGCAAGAAATAGCAGTTTCTACTCCCCCCCCCCCCCCCACCCCCTCCCCTTTCTGAATCATTTCAACTTTTTTTTTACTCAATTTGAGCCAAATTTAGCGCAAAGACGTTGAGGAGGGACGGGTGGGGGAGGTTCTGCGTGCTCTTGACTAGATCTATAACAAGTCTAGATTTTTTTTTCTCTTCATTTGGTCGAAATGGCACAGCACAATGTGTGCACGCTTCACAGCAACGTCTTAAAAAAGCTGAGAGTGACGGCCATAATAGAGCATGGTCTAGGGGTACATAGTAATATCTATTGATGCATAACCCCACTTTTATCAATGATGGTACATAACGTATGTTACTATCTTTGCTGTTATCCACAGAGCTCAGACATTCTAAGACAATTACATGTGAAAACAGCAGTCCGCCAAAACTTCTTCAGCGTACGCACAGTTAACGCGTGGAATTCCCTACCGGAAAATGTGGTGTCTGCACCATCCTTGAATGCTTTCAAGAGTAGGATTGACATGGTCTGGAAGGCACATAAATTGTCTATGAACCTAGATTGGTTTCAAACTGCCAGATCCATGTGCCATGAGCACTAACCTACAGATACCAGAGTGGGAAAAAAACTAACAGGAAGGAACAAGCAACGAAAGCAACGAACGGCTGATAGGCGACTAGCCTGACCACAGCCGTACTTCATACTACTACTACTATTACTACTACTACTAAGCTTGCAAAAACCAAACGGGCCAACTTATGTCCGGATGAAATAATACATTTACCTTGTTTCTGAAGTAGATAATATCTATGGATGCATTACCACACTAGTGACACTTGTATGCACAGAGCTCAGACATTCTAAGACAACAAGCTTACAAAAACCAAACGGGCCAATTTATGTCCTGATGAAATATTTAGATCTACCTTGTTTCTGAAGTAGATTCTGACATTCTTTCAACATACGTTCATCAACAAAGTATAAAATAGTCGGATGTTCTCAGCATCTGTAATCCATCTGTTTCTTTTCCTTTCTTAAGATAGACCAAACTAGATCTACTACAGTAATGACAACACCACTGTCTTGCTATGAGGGTGAAAGGAAAGAGTTACAATTGAACACTTCCTGTAGGCTGCGCAAATTGACGTCATCACTTTGGGCTGTGACAGTTTTTTTAACTTATTGTCTTTGGTTTGTATCTATTATCTCTTTGTGGTGGCCGAATTTTGCTATTCAAAAGGCTTTTTAATGGCTGCATCGCTCGACATGCATTTTTCGCCAAAAGATTCTTTAAAATATTCTACAGATCATGACGCCCTTCGTTTTATCAGTTTTCAGACAGTTATGTTGCAAAAAAGCTAAATATCTTTATTTCGCCGATCGTTTTTGTAGGCCGACGCTTCTGTCTCTGTAATTTTAGAAAAGCCGCCAGGTTTGTTTATTTCAAGTCGTACTTCCGTTCGATACTATCGAGCATTGCCGTGTAATACTGAGCACTATTTTAAGTGTGCAACCCGTACAGATCAAGCCTCATGTTTTGTTTTTTTTACTTGAATTATGCCCTGACGATTGAGTCCGTTCTTCGAACGGGGTACCCAGTTAGTAATATGTGAGGCAGCGTGGTGGAATCAGGCTCTTGTCAAAATAATCAAAATGAAGGAACTTGCATTTTTCTGCAGGTTTGTGAATTTTTATCAAATTATTGTTTTTTGGTTCAACACCTTTCATGCCCATTAAAAAACTCATTTCTGAGTGGATTTTTCTGGAAAACGTTGATTAAAGGTACAATAAATGTAAATTTTCAGTTGCCACGGACTCTTAAGCAAAGGAATTAACTAATCTTTGGCCACCATTTTCTCACAAATTTTTCCCCTGAGAACAGGTGACCCCCACCTCCTTCAATCGCAAATATCTCCACTTGTATTCAAGATAAATGGACATTTTTTTCATTCAAATAAAGACAAGTGAACAAGCTTTAAGATGATACCAATAACTCTACATGCCCCAAAACTGACGTGAGCCTGATTCCACCATGCTGCCTCACATATCTAGTGCTTGGAAAAGTAAAACAGATATATGCAGAAAAAACAACACTGAGAGGGGCAGACAGACAGACAGACAGACAGACAGACAGACAGACAGACAGACAGACAGACAGACAGACGGACAGACAGACAGACAGACAGATAGAAAGACAGACAGACAGACAGAGTGAATGGCCGTTCTGACGGCATGACCCATCAGTTTCCCAACACCAACACCATCTGATCGTTCTGATGTTTTGACGGAATCTGGCAGTCTTGGACAGGTCTGTGGTGTGTGTGTGTGTGTGTGTGTGTGTGTGTGTGTGTGTGTGTGTGTGTGTGTGTGTGTGTGTGTGTGTGTGTGTGTGTGTGTTTCAGAGAGAGATAGAGATGGGAAGGAATGAGGGGGAGTGGAAAAATAGCAAGAGAGACAGAACGAGAGAGAGAATAAGAGAGAGAGAGAGAGAGAGACAGAGAGACAGAGAGAGAGAGAGAGAGAGAGAGAGAGAGAGAGAGAGAGAGAGAATATGAGAGAGAGAAAGAGAGAATATGAAAGAGAGAAAGAGAGAATATGAGAGAGAGAGAGAAAGAGAGAGAGAGAGACAGACAGACAGAGAGAGACAGAGGCAGAGACAGAGAGGCAGATGTCCATTTTGACGTCACAGCCCATCAGCTTTCCAATTGTACCATCTGATGGTTCTGTTGTTTTGACGGAACCTGGCAGTCTTGGACAGGTCTGTGGCCAGTGGCCAGTAACTGACCGACGCAGAAAAGGCGGGAAGATCTGGTAGATGAGATCGGGTGAGATAGGTCTGGTCTGGATACGTGAAATGGACGATCGTGCGTCAGAGGGTAAATATAGCCGGAAAGGATCTGTCTTTTTCTCTTTATTTCTGCCTTTCTCTCTTTCTTTCTGCCGTTCTCTCTTTCTTTCTGTCGTTCTCTCTCTCTCTCTCTCTCTCTCTCTCTCTCTCTCTCTTTCTGCCTCTCCTCTCTCTCTCTCTCTCTCTCTCTCTCTCTCTCTCTCTCTCTCTCTCTCTTTCTCTCTCTCTTTCTGCCTTTCTCTCTCTCTTTGTCTCTCTTTCTGTCTCTCTCTCTCTCTCTCTCTCTCTGTTTTTTTCGCTCTCTTTCTCTCTCTCATCTTTGTGGGTGTGCATGTGTATTTGTGCGTGTGTGAATGGGTGTATGTGTGCCTGTGTGTGTGTGTGTGTGTTTGTGTGTTTGAATGAAAGAGAGTGAGTGTTTGTATGTATGTGTGTGTGTGAGAGAGAGAGAGAGAGAGAGAGACAAAGAGAGAGAGAGTGTGTGTGTGTTTGTGTGTGTATGTGTGTATGTGTGTGTAGGCCTATATGCATGAGTCTATGTGGGGTTCAGGCGGTGGGTAGGAAGAGAAGGGGTGAAGGGTAGGAGGACCAACTTTTCTGAAAAAGCTGGCCATAGCGGAAGAGGGGGGGGGGAAGCTGGTGATGTTTGTGTGAGTCCTGGCTCGGATAGGTAGTGTAGATAATAACACGCAATATTTTGGGTTTAATTTCATGTTTTTGTTTGGTAGGCTTACTCTTGTACTTCCTTGTAAGCTACTTAGACGTTTCCTTGCGTATAAAAGTAATTACTTGACAAACGAAATATTCATTTAATCAATTAATAAAAAGGATAAGCCTACCAAATTTAGTGATTAATTGTATTGATAGGGGTAATGACCCCATACACGAAGTAATTTAGAGCTGTGTGTTCTGTTTGAGTAAGGTTTTAGTAAAAATTTCACGTCATCTTCAACACAATAAGGTCATATAAGTGCCGAAGGTTAGAGGTGTTACTATGATACTATGAAATGTGTTTTTTAGGGGTTAGTTAATTTGAACTCTTTGCAGACAATTATATTCAGGGGTTCGAGCCTCAACTCGGCCCGAAGTTGTGTTCTTGGGAAAGCCACTTTACACCAAATTCCCACTAGGCTCGGTCCTTTCGGAAATGAACGTTTTACTCGGAGGTCCCGCCTCTTAAATAACCTACCAGTGTTGATTGGGGCGTTAAGCACATGCCATTTCACTATTTTTCAGACAATAATATGTTGGGTTTTTTTGTGGGGTTTTGTCCTGAGGGTGAAAGCAAAGATATTCCATAACTCCTGTACCTTGCTGTAGAGACCTCTAACACGTAGAGTGTGAACAAACAAAATCCAGCCACGCCACCCATGTGAAGATAACAAAGCACTGTCGGTTATCTCCCCTTGATTTCCGAAACACCAACCACTTAGCGTCTCTGTTCACCATGGAAACAGGCAGCCTCTGCGTCACAGGCCAAGGTCAAATGTCATTTGCCAGGTTGCCCATTAGCCAGCCTGCGAAACTAGATTATCTACTAATTATTATTAT